GTGGATGGGGTGGAGGGGTGGGGTGGAAAGGGAAACATTTCTTTGATTATTATAATATAATAATCATGAAAATGGGTTGTATTGGATGAACGTGAGCCGTCTTGATAGTACATGCCATTAATGTAGTGGACAAGTGTCAGCTTGGGGTAAGGGAGGGAAAATATTGAAACGGCTCATGGGGGACAGCCTGTATGGTGTCAGGCGCGTGGTTTGAGTGACGTCATCAAGTATTTGACATGAAGAGTCATTCCAAATAATATCTTGGTGAAGACGTTTCCCAAAAATTCTTTATTCAAAATCTCATCTAATTGTAAGATTAATACTTGTTACGAAGTTTTGGTCTTCTAAAAACCCTTGTATAGTTTTTAGTCACAAAAGCTGCAATTTTGTATAATCTTAAAAATGGTTTCAATTAAGATGAGTTTTATTGTAAAATGTATTTTCATGGAACCAGAGGAGCTCTGGTTATGCATGACAAAGTGGGTGGGGAACCAGAGGAGTTCTGGTTGTAATGTCGATGAAGACAAGTAGTAATGTTGGATTTGCATGATGTAGAAACTTTGGTTAACAAACCATAGACTCTGTTGAAGTATGACAATCCTTCTTATAAAACCAGAGGAGGTCTGGTATTATATGTATTTATAGCATTTCATGTGACCAGAGGCTCTGGATGGAAAATGCAAGTTTACAAAAGTAAACTTTTGCTCCCCCTCMAATGATGCAYATGGATAAAATCAAAGACTCCCCTTCACTTAGATAAAATATGAGAAGTGTAGGAGACAGAGGCTCTGGTCTATACAACCAGAGGCTCTGGTTGAGAGAATCATATACCAAGTAAGGATTTCAAAGAGAACAAAGCCAAATACATATCCATATGTTTATACCTCCGTTTTCTAAGAGAACAAATACATTTTCAAAGAGAACAAAGCCAAATACATATGATTCTATATTGGCTCTGGTCTATACAACCAGAGGCTCTGGTTGAGAGAATCATATGCCAAGTAAGGATTCCAAAGATAACAAAGCCAGAAGCTCTGGTCTTTAGAACCAGAGGCTCTGGTTGAGAGGCAAGGTTTTTGAAAAACTTAAGGACATTGAAACCAGAGGCTCTGATCTATGGAACCAGAGGCTCTGGTTGAGAAGGCAATGAGTTATGAACAAGGAAAAAGAATTGTCTTTGAGACCAGAGGGGCTCTGGTGACAAAGACTTTGAAGCCAGAGGCTCTGGTTGGGAAAAACAATGAAAATGGAGTATGAGGGGAAATGTTTAAGACTTGCTTTCAAAGAAACTAAAGCCAGAGGCTCTGGTCTTTAGAACCAGAGGCTCT